TATAAATATTTATAATATAATTATCACTATATCTGCTTTATATCAATAGGACAATAATTTAAAGATATATAAATTTAGTATTTGGCAAAGTTTTTAAAGAATCTAGTCAGTATCAAAGGATTTCTAAAGAAGCAATAAGAATTGTGAGTTTTTTTTGCAAATCAGTTTTTTTTACAGGAAACCTTAGAGATGAACAAAATCGAATATACAAAAAAACTATTTCTTTAATTGCGTCTAGAACATGAGATAGAATTCATATTATTTTTGTTTCCACTCTATTTTGAAGTTAAAATCTGCTCTTAAGGTATGTTTTTCTGCATCAAATAATTTAATATAGCAAGCAACAATACCATTCTTAATAGTTATTAATGAAATATGTACAACTGAAATTGTATCATGAGTTAATAAGAAAACTAATGCATATTTAGCACCAAAAATTAATATAATAGAATATGATATTAATTTCTTAGTTTTCTTATAGCTTAGATTAATTTTTAGAAAAATTGATGAAAATATTATAATTTTATAATAGTTTACCAAATCGTACTAGTGGTGCTCAACACCATATATATTTTTTTAATCATTTTGCTAGTAAAATTTAGGGTTAGGGATCTAACTATAGTAATAATAAATGTCTAGTTAGAGTAAAGTTTTTGGGGGTGCTAAACATTTTTACTTAGTATTCCTGATATGTATTAGCTAGTACATTTTTTGAGATATAGCAACTGTGGTATTAAGCACCACTAGTACTATTTAGTAAAACTGTTTTACAATATAAAATTTAAAAAACATAGTTCCTGATTAGTTTACTGTTGCAAAAAAATTTATTAGTCTAATTATTCAATGTATAAAATAACTAGTTCCTCTTTGCCAAGTTTAATAGTCATCATGATAATGTTATTCAAACAGAAGGCATTCTGTCTATACTAGCAAATAATTGATCAACACATATAATTGTACTCGAAAACTTCTAGATAACATTGTTAATATTATAAATGATCTCTAGTTTTAAACAGTATTAACTAATCTACAAGAGCTTTTATATCTTGTTTGTGGCTTTTTAAATAAGTTACAAAAAGATACTGCTTAACTATATGAAGTTCTTCATTGTTTTGGATATATGGAATACCATTAAGACCTTGAGTTTGGAGAAAGAATGAAAAAATGTATCAAATCACATTGAGAATGAATGGGAGCAACTGTTAATGATTCTTTCTTTTATACTACATCCTCAATACAAGCTTACCAAATTTAACAGTATAATTACTACTCTATCCTGGACTCATATTGGTCAATGGCTCAAGTATTATTATGAGGCATGGTTTAATTCTAAACCTGTCTCTATTTTAGCTAACCTAATAAAGTACAAGAGAGAGATTGATCCATATAATACTAAATCATTTATGCAATTTGATAGAAAGTTAGTGAAATTGGAATCAAAGAATATAAAGTATCTAGTAATCTTTCAGGTGAGAAATATTAGTAGAATTGGTGTTAAAAATATGTGCATAAAAATATAAATCTTATTCGATATAACAAAGTTTTAATAAAATTTAAAGCTTGAAATTTGAATCATCGTGGAAGAAAAATTACATAATGAAAAACCCCTAATACATTATACCTTTAATTGTCTAAAATTGACAAAATAAATAACTTCATAATTGTAAATTTAAAAAAACGTCTATGATGAACCCAAATTAGAATATGAAATCTGTATCCCAATCACTAGTAAACAAAATTTCATCATCCTGATCTTCAAATTGGTTTTCACGATTTTCAAACTCAATCCATTCATTAATTAGATTTTCCCAACTTTGCTCTTCTTTTATAACTAATCCTTCATCAAAAATTTTGATTTGTTCAAGTACTAGACCTGGCAGTTGCATCTTTTTCAGCTATTATCTTATATATTATTACTAATTTTTTTTTACTAATATGATTGATTGATTAATTGTAATAAAATTGAAGGTAACAATCACTAATTTTTTTTTTTTTAAAAAAAAAGTATCCAGTTCATTTCACTGAAAATCAATTCACCAACAGTATGATTAACTGACTAGTTTATTTTATTAACAATATGATTCACCGACAGTACGTTTCACTGACAAGTCTTTTTTAAAATTACACTAGCCTAAACTCTAATTCTAGTCTGATCCTAATAGCAATGACCAAAATTACATTGTTGGTATAATGACTATCGGTGAATTGTATTGTTCATGAAATGAATTGATTGTCAGTAAATCGTACTATTAGTAAATTAATTGTTGATGAAATAAACAGAACTGAAAAAAAGAAATTAATCAATCATATTAATTAAAAAATTTTGATCAATTACTGATATAGGTATATAACATTTAAAGAATTTAGAAAAAGCAGACAAATTGCAAATAAGAGATAGTTTTACCTTTATGTTTGTATTTAT